TCGGTGGAGCTCCCTATGGGGCCACGAAACGTGTGAGGGGTGTGCCGGAATGGGTGGTGGGGAGGCATGCGAACCCTGCCACTGGGGCCTTCGGTGGAGCTCCCTATGGGGCCACGAAACGTGTGAGGGGTGTGCCGAAATGGGTGGTGGGAGGCATGCAAACCCTGCCACTGGGGCCTTCGGTGGAGCTCCCTATGGGGCCACGAAACGTGTGAGGGGTGTGCCGAAATGGGTGGTGGGAGGCATGTGCCACTGGGGCCTTCGGTGGAGCTCCCTATGGGGCCACGAAACGTGTGAGGGGTGTGCCGAAATCGGTGGTGATGATGATGATGATGATGATGATGATGATGATGATGATGATGATGATGATGATGATGATGATGATGATGATGATGATGATGATGATGGGAGGAGGGAGGGGGGGGGAGGAGGAGGAAGTGAGGAACGCGGGGCGCCGTCTTTTCAAAACGAGGACCCAACACCACAGGATGGTTGGGAACAATGTTTTCGGCCTTCTCGCTTTTTCGCTTCGGGTTGGCTCGGGGGGCGTCAAGATGACTCCAAGATGGCCGCAGAGAGGCGCAAGACAGGCCCGACGATTCGAAATTCGTTTGGGGGGGTGCGCAGGGGGTGTGGGCCCCCCGGCCCTACAAAAATATGGTGCTATGTATGTTGTGCAATATACGTGGTACAATCTATGTTGCTCAGTAGCTGTTGTGCGATCTATGCTGTGCAAATGGCCAGTCAAAATCATCACACCCACCCGCCCGCAAGTTGGTTTGCAGAGTCAATGCGGCGGCAATTGTGATAAATGCGTGGCGGAAGCTCGCGCGTACAAAGGTCTGCTAGTTTGGCGCTGCCGACGCGGCCGCGCTGGCGCAGATAGCTGGGAACTTCCCAACCCGTCTCGCAAGCCTCGCTGGCGCCAGAGCAATGCGAATCGGTGGCTCGGGCGGGCGCAATATCATTGTGACGTCAAAAATGATGATGATGGCAACGATGAGTGTGACGATGGTGACGGTGACGACGGCAATGCCTATGATGCCACCGATGCTGATTACGCAGATGACTATGCTGGTGTCCGCGTGTCCAGGTTTTGGGAAGGATTTTGAAATGCGCGCGCTAGCAGACGCGCGCGAATGCCCTGCATGATGTTAGTTGACAGGGATCGTGCACCCCAAAATGTGCTAAAACGCTCGAATGATTCGGACATGCGCGCGCGAGGGGCCCGCTTGGCCGCTTAAGCAGAACGTTGAAGAAAACCTATTGTTTTTTGTAGGAATTCGCAATGGCGTGCGCACATTTTTTGAACCATCTTGCAAACGTATGGGTTATATATAACATGTTGTCGGGGAGCTCGATCTTGAAGTCCGTGTGATATCGACGATTCTTGTAGATTTCTGGCATGCGCGGGAGACGGCGCGCGCGTGCCGATTTTACCATCTGCTTTGCAAACTATTGCTGCGCACGTGTAACTTCTTAATATAATTCTTGCGCGTACAATTATTTGACAGGGATGAGGCGGGGGGCGAAACCGGGTCTAGCTGGAATGGCATGGGCTCATATTTAAAATGGATATTGGGGCAGATCGTATGTAAATTGGACTATCCCAGGGGGCGCCGATAAACCCGAGGGTGGTGGTGGTAGATCCGATTTTGTTTAAGCAAAGGGGTCTGAGTGGTGCAATCTTTCTGGTACAAAAGTGCTGAGCGACTGAAAACAACACCGGTACAGCCGAACTGGCCCGCCGCCAAACTGACCCGAACCGATCCGAACTGGACCCTTCCAGCATCATGGGCGGCTCCCCCTGGTCGCTCTCGGCACCGGCGGGCGCCACGTCCTGGTGAGCTTCAGAATCGCAAAGGGAGCCCGAGTCCGTGCCAGAGCGTGAATGCCCAAGCGCACACGGGACGTCGATGAAGATGCCGCCAAGCATCAGAAGCAAGCGTCTGGTCTGGGCCCCCCGATCTCAACGAACTTGCCGAAGTATCCTCGACCAGTGTCCCCGCTCTCCTGCGCGTCCTCGGTGCGTCGCGCGCGCCGCCGAATCGGCTCAGCAACCAGCCGCTCGAGAGACCAAGAACACGCCAGAGCCGCCACAAGACGAACGCGAAGGCGGACCACGCGCCACGATGCCGTGTGGTCACCGCGACGAGAATCAACGATCTCGGCCGTCTCGCGGCGTCGCGCCTTCCTTCCTTTGTATACAGCGGTCACCTCGCGGTGTCGAGCCTCTTTGCTGCTCTTCCCTTTCGAAACTAGTTTTTGTCCTTCGCCTTGCTGTCGTCAAGCGTTTTCTTTTTTTTGGGGGGGAGGCGAGAAGATTGCCTACTGTTCGCCCCACTTGTGCTGTCTCATGATTTGCTTTGACAGCTCTTGGGCCAACTTCTTCTTTGTCCTCGCAGCGGTCAGCCCTGGCATATCAGTGTAGAGCGCTCCAGCCTTGGGGCGGCAGCTCGCGTGCTTGCTATCGCGAATGTCGAAAAGCTGCGCCTTCTGGTGATGTCCACCGCGGTCCGAAGTACTGGGGCATCTGGAACTTCCTCCACCAACATCGTCAGGGACCCACTGTCGAAGGAGGAGGAGGAGGAGGATGAGGAGGAGGAGGAGGAAGAGGAGGAAGAGGAGGAGGAGGAGGAGGAGGAGGAGGAGGAGGAAGAGGAGGACGAGAGGGAGGAGGAGGAGGAGGAGGGAGGGGGGAGGAGAAGGAGGAGGAGGAGGAGGAGGAGAGGAGGAGGAGGAGGAGGAGGAAGAGGAGGTGGAGGAGGAGGAGGAGGAGGAGGAGGAGGAGGCGCGGCCGAGCGCTCTCGTTCCCCCTGGTTCGCGGAGGACAGGGCCTGAACCCAAGAGGCACTTGCAGGACGGACGGTTCTCAAGTGGCCAGGGGCCTTCAGAAAAACATGCTCAGGAGCTTCGATTCTGCCATTGGCCGACTTGAGGTGGGAAGGCCCCAGGGGAATCCGAAAGGCAACTGTGCCCACGATGCTGCCAAAAGGCCTGGAGAAGAGCGCAGAAGTGGCTCAGAGAGCTTCCTGAACGGCTTTCGCACAGAAAGCCACATTGGTTCTGGCGTCCCCCCTCCTTGTCTCAATAATGCTCCTCCAATTCCCTTCTCCTGTGAACTCGCCGAGGCATCGTTTCTGGATAGGCTTGCGGGGCAAATCACAGCGTCGAACCGTACTCTTTGCGGTCCGCCGGCATCCACGTGGTCATTCAACACACTTGAACGGCTGGGCCAAACTAACTTGCGGCCAGAGATAAGATCTGACAATTATGCCGTTTTGTTTGTTGCTCTGTGCAACTCAATCCAACTGCGAAGAAACGGTATACATGCCGTGTTTCAAATTATCGATCGTGTGTTTGGATGGACTTCGGGAAAACCGGAGCAAGATTTGATGTATGTACGTGCGATGGAACACTCAGCGGCAACATATTTCGGACTTCCACGAGGGTTGACGGGCAAACCTCTTGCCGAATAGTACGTCGTGCTGGACAAATCTCTCAACTTTGCATGCCACGCCTCGGTCAACACGGGCACCTCCCATCGAAATTCTTAGCTCTCAGTCGGATGGACGTCTGTGTACAACACACTTCATCTCAAATCAGTGAGCGTGGAACCACAAGTTTGTTGGCCGTCCGCCCTTAGATCCCACCGTTGACATTAAGCCGAGCCTGAAATTAATTTGCTCGTCGATCGTGCGACCTTTTGGGCGGGTTCCCACACGAACAACACGGTAGCTGCAGAGGTAATTTGAATGTGTGTTCCGATCTTCTGGTTGAGTCCTTGGACATCAAGCGAAACACTCGAAATGACTTCTTGGTGTTCGGACGGTCAAGCACACATGCAGCATCCTTGGCAACTGAATCTACGTGTGATACAACAAACTTGCTGACATCTTCGTAATGCAACGGATGGAACGGGCGTGCTCGCAATATCTGGAAAAACAACAGCCTCTGTGTTCGCTTCACTGCTGCAGAATCCTACGCCCCTCTTTGGAACCTGGACACCGCCCCCCTAGCAATTCCCCCCCTCCTCTCTGGAACTGGCGGCGGCAAGCCGAGGACGACGCCGTCGCCACTGCCGTCGCTGTCGTCATCGCCATCGTACGCGAGTCGGTCGGTCGGACGGGCGGAACATGTCGTCGTCGTGGGCGATATCGGTCGGACGGGCAGGCGGGACACCGTCGCCGTCGCCGTCGCCGTCGCCGTCGCCGTCGCCGTCGCCGTCGCCGTCGTCGTCGTCGTCGTCGTCGTCGTCGTCGTCGTCGTCGTCGTCGTCGTCGTCGTCGTCGTCGTCGTCGTCGTCGTCGTCGTCGTCGTCGTCGTCGTCGTCGTCGTCGTCGTCGTCGTCGTCGTCGTCGTCGTCGTCGTCGTCTCGTTGTCGTCGTCGTCGTCGTCGTCGTCGTCGTCGTCGTCGTCGTCGTCGTCGCCGTCACCGTCGCCACCATCGTCGCTGTCGTCATCGTCTTCGTAGGCGAGTCGGTCGGTCGGACGGGCGGAACACGTCGTCGTCGTGGGCGAGTCGGTGGAGCGGGCGGGCGGGACACTGTCGTCGCCGCCGCGACCGTCGCCACCGCCGTCGCCATCGCCGTCGCCGTCGCCGTCGCCGTCGTCGTCGTCGTCGTCGTCGTCGTCGTCGTCGCCCCGTCGTCGTCGCCGTCGCCCCGTCGCCGTCGCCGTCGTCGCCGCCGTCGCCATGTCGCCTGCCTGTCGCCTGTCGCCTGTCGCCTGTCGCCGTCGCCTGTCGCCGTCGCCATCGCCGTCGTCGTCGTCGTCGTCGTCTTCGTCGGCCCGTCGTCGTAGCCGTCATCGTCGCCGTCGCCGTCGCCGTCGCCCCGTCGCCGTCGCCGTGTCGCCGTGTCGCCGTCGCCCCGTCGCAGTCGTCGTCGCCGTCGCAGTCGTCGCCGTCGTCGTCTTCGACGTCGTCGTCGTCGTCGACGTCGTCGCTGTCGTCGCCGCCGTCGTCGTCGTCGTCGTCGTGGTCGCGGTGGCGGCGGCGCCTCGGCGGGCGGCGCCACGGCGAGGCCCCCGTCGGGGTCGAGCCGCAGCCTCGACAGCGAGGCCAGGCTGGACGAGACGGCCTTGGCCAGCAGGGCGTTGTCGTCGTCGTCGTCGTCGCCGCCGTCGCCGTCGTGCCCGTCGCCGTCGCCGTCGTCGCCGGCGCCGTCGGCGTCGGCGGCGTCGTCGTCGTTGCCGTCGTCGTCGTTTGTTCGGTCGTTTGTTCGTCGTGGTTCGTTCGTGCGGTCGGCGTCGTCCGTTCGTCGTCTGCACCAGGCAGGCCGGACCCGCGGCGCAGGCAAGGGGTGGACGGATCCGCACCCGCCTTTGCTCAATCAGCTCCGGCTCGTGCGGGCGCAGGCCCGCCGCCTTTGCGCGTGCGGGCCGCTGGCGCTTTGTGGCGCCGTGACATCCTGTCACTCTGGGAAGTGAGTGCTCGAGGTGCCGGCGCGGGAGGTTGCGCAGTGGAGCAAGGGCACGCGCGTCGGCAGAGCGCTTGGGGTGCTGCGCGGTGGCGCAGGTGCACACGCGTCGGCAGACCGCTTGGTGTTCAGGCCGCAGGAGGGAACCAAGAGCCTCCAGCAGGCGCTGAAAAGACGCGTTTCTGCATTGGGATAGTTATTTGTTCGGGGAGCGGTTTCCGCACGCACCCCACCCCCAGGAGGCCCCAGCAGGCCCTCAGAGGCCCCAGGAGGTACTTTTCTGTACTGGGACATGTGTTTTGGGAGAGCTTGTAGGCCCCCGTAGACTTCGTTCTTAGAGGCTTCGCCACAGTAGGCTTCGCGGCCCTTTTCCTGGGGCTCGAATCCTTTCTGCTTTGATGCTCCTATAGATAGCTCCATTGACCGGGGCTCGAATAGTTAACGTGTTACGTATGTTCCGATCTATTCCCTGGTGCTGGGGCTCGAATCCTTTGTGTTTTAAGTATGTTCCTACATATTGCCCCTCTCCTGTGGCTCGAATCCTGCGTGTTTTAAGCCTTCACCGCTCCCTATAGTCGCACTGTTGTTTGAAGTGTCGTCCGAAGTGAAAATGGATGTGCCTCGGGAGAAGTGTTGGCTCGACCTCCTTGGGCGGGGTATCGCTGTGGGAATATAACTCCCCTTTTCCACTTACTCTCCTCAAGAGGAGGTAGCATCATGATGGGTGCATATAGCATGTAGAAGCATGGCGCATGAAGGTAAACACATTGTGGTTGAACTCTATGATTCTACATAAAAATTATTTGTGACCCCCGCTCGAATGCACCTTGCGTTTTTCAGTTGAAGTGCTCCTCTCGGGGCTCGCACCCTGTTGTTAACAAGGGAACATATTCCACTTCAGGTCTAGGCCGTGGCCATCGACTTGCAACAGCAAGAACAACAGGAATAACGGCAGCAACAGACACACCAACAACACCAACAATAATACTACAACTAATAATAGCAGACGTACTGGGATACTACTGCTAACAATAAAGCTGCCATAATGATCATAATAACGCCAACGATAACTTGCTGGTAACACTAATCATAACAATAACAGCATCAGCATCAGCAACTACAACAACACCAATCATTTCAAAACTGTTCGCTCTAACTTGCTCGCGTTCCATTTATCACGTATATCCCAAACCCTCGATACCCACCCTCTTCGTCTCCGATCGTGCCCCCTTAGGGGTGTATCTTTCTTACCTGCAACGTGTATTTCGTGCAGCCACCTAAGACAGGGGAAGGAAGGCCTGATGAAAAGAAGGGACAAGGCCAGGCGTGTTGCTGAAGCCTGCGTGCTGCATGAATCGCGAACACATCTCTAGCGATAGTGCGATTTCCCAATACATCGTGCAACAATTCACAGCGAGAGCGTCATTCCTGACTGTCGGGGGCGCGGCGTCTGAACAAACTGCGAGGAAGTCCCACGCGAGAGCGCGAATCCTAAATACATTGTGAGCAAATCCAACGCGAGAGCGCGATTTAGTAATAAAAAGTGAAGAACTATTCGACGGGAGCCGTCTTTGTTGTTGTAAACTGGGGGCCAGGAGCGCAGCTTGGTGGCGCTTCGCTTCCCCTTTTAGAAAACCAGGGTGCGAGCCCTGGTAGAAACACCTCAATTGAAAAATGCAATGCTTACCGAAGTTGGGGGATCTCCAATAATTACTCTTTAGAATTGACAATTCAACAACGGCTACCGCCTGATCCTTCCTCACACTTTCTCCCACATCGCGCTCTCGCGCGGGACTGCCTTACAATTTGCGCGGGCAGCGCGGTCTCGCGCGGGACTTCCACGCGCTTTTTATTCAAACGCCGGGCCCTCCACGCTTAGGAATCGCGCTCTCGCTCTGGTTTTCCTCCGATTTGCTGGGGAATCGTGCTATCGCTTGTGACCTCCTGGCGCTTCATGCGAAACTCACGCTTCAACATCCCGCCTGCTCGACTTGGCCGCCTGGGCCCCGCTTCCCGACCCGCCCGTTCGGGTTTACGCGCCCAATCAGACCGTCTGGTGCTGCAGCGCGTTCTCTGCTCCTAGCCCCCCTTTCTGCTCATCTTTCTCGTGCCATAGTTATCGTTATCTCTTGTCTCTTCTCTCCTGTCTTCCGTCCATTGTTTTAAGACCAACGCCAACTATGCTGGCCAGGTCAGGAAGATATGCCCCCAAGGGTGGTACAATTGAATGCGAAGAGGGCGGGTATCGAGGGTTTGTGATATATGTGTCGAATGGCACGCGAGCAGGTGCGAGTGAACAGTCTTAAAAAAAATGAACTTGTTTTCATTTTCCTAAACATGTTGTTGATCCCCCCTCTGGTGCACCGAATGCTTTTTCGATTGAAGTGTGCGTTCTGGGGCTCGATCCCTGTTTTTGTACACGGGAACATCTGCCTCTTCAGGCTTGGCCCTGGCCCCCGATTTGCAACAGCAGCGGCTCCAGCCGGATACTTCCTCACATTTTTCCCAAATCGCGCTCTCGCGCGGGACTGCCTTACAATTTGTATGGGAATTGCGCTCTCGCGTGGGACTTTCTCGCGCTTTATTCAGACGCCAGGCACTCCACTCTCAGGAATCGCGCTCTCGCTCTGACTTTTCTCGGGAGTTACTGAGGAATCGCGCTATCGCTCGCGATCTCCTCGCGATTCATGCAGGACTCACGCTTCAACAACCCGCCTGCTGGACCTGGCCGCCTGGGCACGGCTTCCCGACCCGCCCGTTGGGACCTACCCGCCCGATCAGCCCATCTGGCTCTCCCGCGTGCTTTCTGAAGCGAACCCCGCTCCTGCTCGTCTCTCTCATGCTCCATACTTTTCTCCCCCCCTTCGGGCGCCCGAGTTATCCGGGGTAACTCGGGTCCGGGGTAACTCGGGTTTGGATTCCCGAAAAAAAGAACCCGAGTTAGCCCTGACCCGAGTTACCCCTGATCATGTGGGGCTCTGGACGCCCGAGTTATCCGGGGTAACTCGGGTCCGGGATAACTCGGGCTCGGATTCCCGAAAAACGAACCCGAGTTATCCCTGACCCGAGTTACCCCTGATGATTCGGGGCTCTGACCCCTTGTCTTTTCGCTCCCTCCGTAACATGTTGGCTCGAGCCGCATCCGGGGCCTCCGGGCGTCCAAATGGCGCCCAAGCGCTGGCTGCCTGCCGCGCCGCGCGCGGGACCCCCCGGCGCCCCGGCCGCGCCGTCGCCGGCGGGCGCCTCGGCCGCCCGGCTTGTAGCCGGCACGGATGGCTCGGTCACGGCCATGAGCGCCGCCGTCGACGAACACGGGGGGGAGCTTGGCGGGGGGTGGGGCCCTGCTGAAGTCAGAGCAGTGTACGGTGAGGAGACGAGTGCACAAGGGGCCGCTGACGACCCACCTGGGGGCAATCACCAAACTGCGATATGAGCCCCCGGCTCACAGCAACAGCAGCATCCGCCGGATGCTTCCTCACAGTTGATTCCACAATCGCGCTCTCGGGCGGGACTGGCTCGCAATAAACGCAGGAATCGCGCTCTCGCGTGGCCCTCGACGCTCAGGAATAATGCTCTCGCTTTGGCCTGTCTTGCGATTTACTTGGAAAAGGCGCTCTCGTTCGAAGCTTCCTCTCGATTCATGCAAGGCTCACGCTTCAGCAACCCACCTGCTCGACCTGGCCGCCTGGGCCCGCCTTCCCGACCCGCCCGTTAGGGTCAACCCGCCCGATCAGCCCGTCTGGCTCTGCCACGTGTTTTCTGCTCTTAGCCCCCCTCCTGCAAATCCCTCTCGTGCTCCATCCTTCTCCTTCCCCCTTCCATCCGTCCTCTCTTCCTTTGTTTCAAAAGCTGTTCTAAATGCGCGTGGCAGGGAAGGAAGATATACCACCAAGGGGGTACGATCGACGACGAAGATGGTGTGTACCGAGGGTGTGCGATATACGTGTTGAATAGCAAGCGAGCAGATGGGAGCGACATGTGGTAACATCGTTATTTATGTTGCTGCTGCTGTTGTTGATGTTGACGATGGCATGGTTGATATTGTTGTTGCTGCTGTTGTTGTCGATGTTGTTGTTGAACTCTCACTCCTGAAGAATATAAGACACCCCGCAAATGCGGATACGAGCGAGGGGGCGTGCGCGGAGTGGGTCGCGGGTGGGTCGCGGGCGAGCCGCGGGTGCGTCGCGGGGTGGGTCGCGGACGGGTTGCGGGTGGGTCACGGGCGGGTCGCGGGTGGGTCGCGCGTGGGTCGCGCGCGGGTCGCGGGTGGGTCGCGGGGGGGTCGCGGGTGGGTCGCGGGTGGGTCTGGGGGGGGTCGTGCGGTGGTTCGCGGGTGGGTCGGGGGCGGGTCGCGGGAGGGTCGCGGCGTGGGTCGCGGGTGGCTCGCGGGCGGGTCGCGGGGTGGGTCTAGGTTGGGTCGCGGGCGGGACGACGAGAACAAATAACCAACAACAAACAACAAACAACAACCAACAACCAACAACCAACAACCAACAACCAACAACCAACAACCAACAACCAACAACCACCACCACCATCACCACCAACAACAACACCACCAACGACACCAGCGACAGCAGCAATCCGCACCGCGGAAGCCCACTTCAGTCACGCAGCCAAGGACAGTGGATGACCTTTCGGCCCCCTCACTTTGATTATTGCTGATCCCCCCTCTGGAGCACATTGTAGTTTTGGAATTGAAGTGCTACTCCCAGGGCTCCCACCCTGTCTTTTAGCAGGGAAGACCTTGAAAAGCAAACTGGCCCGCTGGCTCCAGAACTACAACAATATCAACGGCTTCGGCGTGATCTTCTGCTCAAGTTATTGAAGAATCGAGTTTTCGCCTGAGATTTCTTTGCAATCTACTCAGAAATCGCGCTCTCGCTTTAGACTTCCCCACAATTTATTCAGACAGCGCCCCTCGACACTCCGGAATCGCGCTCTCGCTTTGGACCTCCTCACGAATTACTAAGAAATCGCGCTATCGCTAGAGACGTCGTCGCGAGTCATGCAAAACGCACACTCCAACAACCCGCCTGCTCGACCTGGCCGCCTGGGCCCGCCTTCCCGGCCCGCCCGTTAGGGTCTACCCGCCCGATCTGCCCGTCCGATTCTTCTCCTCCTGGCCCCCCTCCTTCTACTCTCTCTCGTGCTCCGTCCTCCTGCCTCCCCCTCGTCCCTGCCTTACGCTCGTCCTCTTCTCCTTTGTTTCAGGGGCTGCGCGGAAGGCACGTTGCAGACAAGGAAGGTGCACCTCCCGGGGAGCACGATCGAAGACGAAGAGGGCGGGTATCGAGGGTTTGGGCTATACGTGTTGACTGGCACCCGAGCAGGTGAGAGCGAACAGTCCTAAACTGATCGCTGAATGCTCATTTCTAAAGAAAATTATTGCTGATCTTCGGAAGCGGTTCCGCGCGCTCTCGCCTCGACGCCGGCTACATTCTCTCTGACACCGAAGCTCCCGTTCGAGCGTTAGCTTGAGCCTAATGTGAGCCCTTGGAGACCCAGCTGCGACAACAACGGCTCCCGCTCGACACTTCCTCACAATTTACCCCGAGAGGTAGAGGCCCGGACACGGTGACAAGGGCTCCCGTTCAATATTTCTCCATAGGGATTCCGAGAGCCCTTGGCCAGAGAGGCCCCCGAACTCAGGAACGGCGCTCTCGCTCGAGACTTCTTCGCACTTCAGTCAGTGGCCGACAAGGAAGAGATTCCCCCCGAAAAGGGGTGCAATCGAAGACGAAGTGAGCGGGTATCGAGGGTTGAGGTATAAGGAGTGCAAGACACGCGTGCCAGTAAGAGCGCTCAGTCTTAAAATGATTGTTGTTGTTGCTGCTGTTGTTGTTGTTGTTGTTGATGTTGTTGTTGTCGTCGTCGTCGTCGTCGTCGTCGTTGTCGCTGTCGTTGTCGTTGTTGTTGTTGTTGTTGTTGTTGTTGTTCTTGTTCTTGTTCTTGTTCTTGAATATTATTACTTCTAAAGAATAATTATTGTTGGGCCCCCTGGTGCACGCCCCCCTCGCCGCGCCTAGGCCGCAGCCACATTTTCATTATTTTCGTGAGGAAGTCTCAGGCAAAACGATGTGTACCAGATCCGGTTGTTTTGTTGACGCCCGCTTTCCCTGTCAAAAAACAATATAAAATGACATGTCTTGTTCTAACATAGCCAAACTTCAAGAATCCTTTGCAAAAAATGGCACGAAGTGCACACTCGCGCGCGCAAGATGAAATCCTTCCAAAACCTTAGTTTTCGTAGCGATTTTAACATAAAAACATGAAAAACCCAATGGTTTTTCAAACAAAAAGTTTCAAAAATTCATCCCGCGCGCTCTTGCGGATTTCTTAGGAAACCCAATATTTTTTCAACATTTCTGTCAAACGGGCTCTTGCGAGCAACTTTTTCGAACTTCTGCAACAACGGTTGCGCACCTGCCAGGGCCATCATCCCTGTCAAATAATACCATGCGGGACACATTCGTTTTTTCTTCGCGCGCGCACGCCGTCGTCGTCGGCCGCGGGGCCCTGAATAGTAGCCACGGTCGTCCGCATGCCACGAAGTGAAGTGTCCGAACGTCATAGGGCGGGAAGCTGGGTGTGGGTGGTGGCGAAGAGTCGTTTGGAAATTTGGTAGAGCTTGAACCGGCCCCCCCACAAAGTGGGGGTATTGCCCGCCTCCTATGAAAACCCTGGCACTGGTGAGAACGGAGTGTCCCCACGTGCTAGTAATTGTTGTTGTTGTTGTTGTTGTTGTTGTTGTTGTTGTTGTTGTTGTTGTTGTTGTTGTTGTTGTTATTGTTCCCAACCCTCCTGTGTTGGGTACTCGTTTTGAATAGAGCACTGTGGTGTGGTCTCCACCTTCCTCCTCCTCCCGCCTCCCGCCTCCCGCCTCCTCTCTCCCCTCTTCGTCTTTCTCTTGCTCTTACCTCCTCATCCTCTTCTCTTCGCTCCTCCTCTCCTCGCTTGCTTTTTACCTATCATTACCTCGCCATCTCTGGGGCGCTGCGATCTGTGAAACTGTCGCCACTTTCGAAGGCTGCTGGGGTGGCCAGCGAAATGACGCCCCACGGGGACTCAGATTAGACCTCGCCATCCCTGGGGGGCTGCGATCTGTGAAACTGTCGCCACTTTCGAGGGCTGCTGGGGTGACCAGCGGAGTGACGCCCCACGGGGACTCAGATTAGACCTCGCCATCCGTGGGGGGGCTGCGATCTGTGAAACTGTCGCCACTTTCGAGGGCTGCTGGGGTGGCCAGCGCAGTGACGCCCTACGGGGACTCAGATTAGACCTCGCCATCCCTGTGGGGCTGCGATCTGCGAAACTGTCGCCACTTTCGAGGGCTGCTAGGGTGGCCAGCGGAGTGACGCCCCACGGGGACTCAGATTAGACCTCGCCATCCCTGGGGGGCTGCGATCTGTGAAACTGTCGCCACTTTCGAGGGCTGCTGGGGGGGCCAGCGCAGTGACGCCCCACGGGGACTCAGATTAGACCTCGCCATCTCTGGGGGGCTGCGATCTGTGAAACTGTCGCCACTTTCGAGGGCTGCTGGGGTGGCCAGCGGAGTGACGCCCTACGGGGACTCAGATTAGACCTCGCCATCCCTGGGGGCTGCGATCTGCGAAACTGTCGCCAATTTCGAGGGCTGCTAGGGTGGCCAGCGGAGTGACGCCCCACGGGGACTCAGATTAGACCTCGCCATCCCTGGGGGGCTGCGATCTGTGAAACTGTCGCCACTTTCGAGGGCTGCTGGGGTGGCCAGCGGAGTGACGCCCTACGGGGACTCAGATTAGACCTCGCCATCCCTGGGGGGCTGCGATCTGTGAAACTGTCGCCACTTTCGAGGCTGCTGGGGTGGCCAGCGGAGTGACGCCCTACGGGGACTCAGATTAGACCTCGCCATCCGTGGGGGGCTGCGATCTGTGAGACTGTCGCCACTTTCGAGGGCTGCTGGGGTGGCCAGCGGAGTGACGCCCTACGGGGACTCAGAATAGACCTCGCCATCCCTGGGGGGCTGCGATCTGCGAAACTGTCGCCACTTTCGAGGGCTGCTGGGGTGGCCAGCGGAGTGACGCCCCACGGGGACTCAGATTAGACCTCGCCATCTCTGGGGGGCTGCGATCTGCGAACCTGTCGCCACTTTCGAGGGGTGCTGGGGTGGCCAGCGGAGTGACGTCATACGGGGATTCAGATTAGACTTCGCCATCCCTGGAGGGCTGCGATCTGTGAAAATGTGTCATTTCCCGCGGGCCGCCCGCAGACCTGGCGGCGCGCCTGCGAACGTTCAGCTCCCGCACTAAATGTGCAGGGGTGAGGCGGAGAAGCTAGCGGGCGAGCTAAGTCTCGCTCGCTTCTTGCACTTACTATAAGCAGGTTTGAGCCTGTGGAACGCTGCGACGACATGGCGCAGGCAGCGCTCAGTGTTTAGCGTGTACCTGAAAACGCGGCGCTTTTCTGTCTCCTCCCGTCACCTTCATTGTCGTCCTATTCCCCGCTTCACCTGCTCCATGCATGCTGCTACTGCCGCGATGGCCTTTCGCCCCCCCATTCCATCCTCCTCCTGCCCCTCGTTCCCGTCCCCGTTCTTCTTCGAGCCTGGGGCCTCGATCCTCGTTCTTTCGATCGTCGTCCTGTGAGTCGTGCAACGCATGCGCGTCCCATGTAGATTGCGCAACAAATCACCGTGTCTACATTGTCGTTGTTCCTGCTAATGTTGGCCTACTCCTCTTGCCACTTGATGCACATGGGTTGGGTACGTCGCAGGGTAATTTTTGTTATTATTGTTGCTGCTATTCTTGTTATTGTATTGCCATCTCTAGCAGATAGCTGTTGTTGATCCCCCAGTGTCCATTGTGTTTTCTGGGTGACGTGGCTCCGAAGGAGGTCTTGGCAAGATCCAAAGCGAACGTCCGCCCTTGGACCCCTAGTGGGATCCGTCTGGGCCTGGTCGTCGAGCTGCGCCGGGGCGCGGTGGCGAGAGGCCTCCCCAAGGCTCAGGCAAACCTCAAAAACACCAGTGTCCTCCTCGACCCCTCCCTCCTTCGCGTCCTTCTCGATGTGTTTCGCGACGCCGGATCTGAGCAGGAGGAGGCGGAGGAGAGGAAGAGGAGGAGGAGGAGGAGGATGTGGAAGGAGGAGGACGAGGAGGAGGGGAAGAGGAGGAGGAGGATGATGATGAGGAGGAGGAGGAGGAGGAGGAGGAGGAGGGGGAGGAGGCGGATGAGGAACAGGAAGGAGAGAGCCGCCGACGACGACGACGACGAGCGTCGACGACGACGTCGGCGCCAACGTCGGCGTCGACGACGACGGCGCCATCGACGGCAGCAACGACGATGGCGCCGCCGAGAGGCCGAGCGCCGCACGCTGGCGCTGAGCGCCAGGGAGCCCAGCGATACGCCCAGGCCGTCGTCATCGGGGGCGGCGCGGGGCGGGGGGCTGCCCGGGCCTGAGGCGGCCGCCGCCGGCGCGGAGGAGAGGTTTCGAATGGATCGGGCTTCGAGGTTTGAACTTCGGTGTTCGGGGTTCTTGGGCGTCTTCGGCGGCAGGAGTTCGAGGGAGGAGGACGCGGAGAAGGAGGAGGAGGAGGAAG